CCTTTTGATTATTTGTAAAGCTTAGCTGAGATATAAGCTCTAACAGTCTTAGCAAAAGGGCCATAGACTCTTGTCTGTTGTATAATGCGGTGCCTCTCAGTCTCAGCTGAGTACTATGTATAGCAGCAGAAATGACAACCAAATAAAAAGCTCCCTGTCTGCAGGGATGCACCATGTGCTATATTTCTTTTCTTTTTTCCATTTTATGTGTCTTGAAGTGTGAAAATGTGTAAAGTCTCTATGCACCACAACCAGCATCCCAAGATTTGTGAGAGCTGACGTTTTATTATAGTGTTAGCTGTTGGCGAACATTTTGTTGAATAAGATTAAATCTACTGGGTTCTGTCTGGCAGGAATTTTTCTAAATATGTTCTGGCTGCCATTTTGTTAACATACAGTATTACAATAGATGTATGTAACGTTATAGACAAAAATCAGCATCCCGCAAAAATGGTTTAGCCACCTATGATTTTAGCTGTGCCCTGTAAAAAAAAAAAAAAAGGGTTTGTGTGTTTCATTTATGGTAAATGGTATGGCCAGCACTTGATGTTACAAGTATTACCAGTGTATTTTAATCATGTGGGTCAATATCACCATAGAGTGCCTTTCAACCCTCACAATACTCAAAAATATTGGTTTTAATTTCCCATTCACTTTATGTCATGTCATAAATAGTAGACACTCAAGTACTATAGAAACATTAGCTGAGCTCCCACACATTTTTTAATGAGTTTTTTATGTACAACCAACCAAAAGGCACCCTACAGTGATATTGACCCATCTATGTCCCTAAATTATACAGTATTAATGTACTTGCATAAGCTAATAGTGTAAAAACTAATTAGCTGTGTAATGGAAGAAAACATACCAAAATATGCATATATATATATATATATATATTCCCTTGAATATGGTAAAGACTTATTAAATATTTGTATTTAATTTTTATTATATTATAATTTTTATGTAGCTCCTACTAATATTTTTTATGCAATTGTGGTTAGTTAGTAACGTATTTTACAAAAGTAGGTTACACAAATTACAATTTTTTTAATAGTGTGTGACAATCCAGTGCAAATCCTACTAGTATTCCATTTAGTGTATTTAGTGTTCGTGTTTATTCATTGTGAAATGTTTAGAAAGGCGAGATTTTTGTGCAATAAACAGAGTTTCATGCACTGATCTGACCTTATTTGGAGAAAAATACTGACCACTAACATTAGTCCACCTACGTGAACCTTCTTATCCGACACTAACATAACCAAAGCCCTACAAACGTGCACAAACTCCCTCAGACTTCATCAGGTTGTCTTAAACGTGAGCCTGGTTCGCGTGGTCTTTCTCACCCAGTGGATGTGAGCGCAGATGTTGCTCATCGCGCGTGAGGTGCGGCGCCTGAGGAGCCTCACTACTCTTCATCATCCTCTCTCCCCATGGCGAGAAAGACCTTGGCTTGGTAAAGGACATTGGTCGCTGTGATTTGTGTTTTGTCATTATTTAAATAGCTTTCGCCGTACATTAATGATGTATTTGTGGCAGGTTAGTACTGTGAAATGTGGTGTTTCAATCATGGCACGGGGTCTGATACCGTGGATCTGGCTGAAGCGACCCGTTTATATCCAGGTAAGACGCGAATAAGCATCGCATGCCACTTGTCATTAATCGTACCCGGTGTTTCGCTTTAACCATCTGTGTACTTGGCATCATTTGTGTGTGAGATTTGAATGGACGAGGCGGGGACGCTGTTATCCCGTTTGGACTCTGAAGTTTTTGAAGGCATCATCTCTTCCTAAAGCTTTAGCCTACTCCATCTGACTACAACGGCTGAATGCATCGAGCGGCTTTTTTCAACCATTTTTTTTCGACCTATGCATGAGCCTCATTTGAATATTTTACGAAAAATACCGAAATGCCATTTTTGCAACTGTATCCGTTGCTTTTCTCCGGTGGATTTCATGGATGTGATGGATGAACTGATGTTGCTGCGTTTTATCTATCGTTGGGTCAGTCGTTGCTGTAGCAACCGCGCTGCTGTATAACATTTTTATAGTCCTGCTGAAAACATTTCTCTTAACCTGTCAAGAATGTAATGCAAAATATAAATCATGAATTCCCAATCTCATCGGGGCGCTGTGTTCATGTGCTTCAAAGATTGACGACCTCATTTTACACTTCTATACTGAGCAACGTCAATACAAGCTCATGTGTTAACCCAAGAGAATAATAACCTAGCTGAACTGCTAAAGACTTTTCAGGGACATTAGCCTACTTGTTGGAGTCTTCAATAAGGCTTCTGCAAAGTTTTGATGTGTACTCCACTGAAATATTAAAAGAATACATTTTTTTTTTAGATAATTATGGGCCATTATTCGAAGCATAAACCATAAGATATGTCCACCCTGTCATGGACATATATATTACTGTTAAATACGTTTTCATTGCAAAATTAAGATGCAAATTATATTTTCTGAAAGGAATGATGTCCCTTTCCTAAACATGGTTATTTGTTTGCTTTCAAATTATAAATACATAAAAGATTTTATGTAAACCATGTGTTTTTAAAGAAACTCATACAATTTGCACATGTATTTTTTCTTATTTGGAGAAAACTGATATTTGGATGCAGTTTTTTTGTTTGCATGTTATTGCCCCCACACCTAGCTATTGAACACACTGGATTATAGATATTATTTAATTATTATTGTAAAATATCAAGATGGCAGGGTGGACCAGCACATGACGGGGTGGACACATAATGCAGAACACACAAATCATGACAAAATATGACAATGAAACATTTATTCAACTTCTAAAAAAATTATATAATAATAATAAATAATATAACAAACTCCCTCAGACTTCATCAGGTTGTCTTAAACGTGAGCCTGGTTCGCGTGGTCTTTCTCACCCAGTGGATGTGAGCGCAGATGTTGCACATCGCGCGTGAGGTGCGGCGCCTGAGGAGCCTCACTACTCTTCATCATCCTCTCTCCCCATGGCGAGAAAGACCTTGGCTTGGTAAAGGACATTGGTCGCTGTGATTTGTGTTTTGTCATTATTTAAATAGCTTTCGCCGTACATTAATGATGTATTTGTGGCAGGTTAGTACTGTGAAATGTGGTGTTTCAATCATGGCACGGGGTCTGATACCGTGGATCTGGCTGAAGCGACCCGTTTATATCCAGGTAAGACGCGAATAAGCATCGCATGCCACTTGTCATTAATCGTACCCGGTGTTTCGCTTTAACCATCTGTGTACTTGGCATCATTTGACACCTAGCTATTGAACACACTGGATTATAGATATTATTTAATTATTATTGTAAAATATCAAGATGGCAGGGTGGACCAGCACATGACGGGGTGGACACATAATGCAGAACACACAAATCATGACAAAATATGACAATGAAACATTTATTCAACTTCTAAAAAAATTATATAATAATAATAAATAATATAATTACATCCTCAATCACATTGATATACCCCCGATTCATTTTAGTTTTTAGCAATATTAACTACAAATGAATGCTTTGTCCACCCTGTCATGTTTATGTCCACTCTATCTAGTCTAAGTGGCCGACAGGGTGGACATTTTGAACTTCAATTAGCATATTAGCTTACAAAAAACTGTGACTAGCTAAATAGTCTGGTTGTTGAAGAAAATTTTATTTTAAGTATATTTAGACTTACATAATTTGAAAATACTGTATTCTAATCACTTCTGGCATATTTTATGGACATGGACAGGGTGGACATGTTAAGCTTTGGCAAAGCAAGTAAGCAAACTCAGAAGAAGAAAATTTGTCAATTGAAAAGTCACAAACTTATTCACCTCAGCCAATTCCCGCCACTGAAGAGACAAAAAAATCTGTTGTCCTGATGTCACTAAAGGGGATGGCCTTTTCTTAAAGGGGGGGATTCCCCAATACTACAGGGTGGACAACCATTCAAGGGACATGGACAAACTCTTCATTTTTATTAAATAAAAATATTGTTTTTATTACCGAATGATCAATACATTCAAATTGAGTAGTCTCTTATTTAACAAAATATTAATAAGAGAACATTTTTAAATTTTATGATTTGACAATATTCTACTATCATTCAAATTTAATGAGCAGTGCATGGGACATAGCAAAATAACATGCATCCTCTTACATAAAACTAAAAAAAAAAAAATAATCTAGAAAATGTATC